TTCCTTTTCCTTCCTCTGAGGCTGAGGAGAGTATGACTTACCCAAGGTTTCCCAGTAGGTTTCCACTGCGGTCAAGCAGGGACTTGAACTCTGGTCTCCAGAGTCATAGTCCAATGTTCAAACCACTGCACCATATTGTCTCTCACATTTTCGCTACTACTGCGGTTTTTTAAAAGGCCAATAAACAAAAACATTCTCTTCACAGAAATCCACACCAGGTTTTTCTGCCATACTCATTTTCTAATGGCAACCCAGTTATTTACATATTATAGTCTTTTTTTTTTCTAAGCCAGGGGAGGAGAGAATGAGTTGGGAGAAGACTCTGGCGAAGACTTGAAGGGGACCATTCTTGGAAACAAGTAGTACAAATGAGTTTTAAAATAGTACAAACAGCCCCTGCTTAGTTAATCGGAAGATGGGGCTGCAGTGAAATTAAATGGCACAGCAGTAAAGCTGGTCTTATTTATTTATTTATTTGGAGTATTTATAACCTGCTCTTCAGCTACAAAGGCTCTCAGAGCGGCTTACAAATGGTCAATTAGACAGTTCCCTGCCCTCAGGCTTACAGTCTGAAAAAGACACGACACACAAAAAAAGGGAATGCTGGTGGGGATCAGGTCCAGCAGTTCTTCTCATCCTGTGAGGTCTGGACCATGGAAGATAGACTGGAGGGAGGGCTCTCCTTCTTAATTTAGGCTAGGCCCAATGGAGCTGCCCTGCCTCTCTCCCTTTGAGGCCGAGGAAGTAATGTAGGGACAAACCTTTGCCCTTATACCCAGTTTAAGAATAAAGTGCAAAGAGTGCCTGCTGAATCAGGGCTTCAGTCCTGCAAAGAGCTAGACCAGGGGTCCCCACACTTTTTGAGCCGGGGGCCGGTTTGCTGGCCCCCAAATCTTCGGAAGGCCGGAGGTGCACGTGCGCGCATGTGCACTACTTCCAAAATGATGCCTAGAGTCATGTACATGTGCCCGGCATCGCGCGTGCATGCGCACTACTCGGGTGCCGTTTTGTGTTCCAAGATGGCGCCCAGAGTGCGCATGACAATGCCGGGTGCATGTGCACGTACGCAACTCCAGACACCATTTTGGAACACAAAATGGCGCCCCACGTCACGCGTGCATGCACACTACTCTGGTGCCATTTTGTGTTCCAAAATGGTGCCCCGCATCACGCGTGCATGAACACTACTCTGGTGCCATTTTGTGTTCCAAACTGGCGCCCAGCGTTGCGCGGCGGTGGTGGCAGGACCAGCCGCGGGCCAGTTCAAAGGCCTTGACAGGCCAGGTTCGGCCCACGGGCCGTAGTTTGGAGACCCCTGAGCTAGACCACTGAGGGAAACAGAGGTACTAGCAAACACAACAGGCTCTTCCTTCCTACAGCCCCCTGATGGTTTCTGTGGTCCTCACTCTCTCTGCTGGGTATTGTATGGTTAAGGCCATCCTCAAAGCCTTTTTTTAATAGTTCAGCCAGTCAAGGCAGCTGTGCTAGATGGAAGTCATTGCCTGCTGAATGAAGGCTTCAGTCCTGCAAAGAGCAAGAGCTCTGAGTTATGCTGAGGTCCAAGGCAGTAGCAAATACAGCAGCCTTCCTACAGCCCCATAATGGTCTCTGTGGTCCTCAGTCTCTCCCGTGATGTTTTTTTTCTCCCTCAGAGGCCACAACAGTGGCAGTTGGAATGGAGGGAGGGTGCCTCACCAGCTGCTGGGACTTGTTCAACAAGAAAATGACAAGTTTGATTGTTTTAAAGGGCAAAATAGTGCAATTGCTTCTTGATGGATAGTGTTCTCCAATTTTTATCATCAGAATTAAATTAGCAGCAACTCTAGCAACTGTATTCAAGGACTCCTCCACTGTCCTGTGGCTCCCCTCCCTCCTATCACCTGCTCCTAGGCTGGATGTGACCCTGGATGTTCACGTCTAAGGTCCCATTGGTTATTGTGGAACCCTAATCACTGCTGAATCCATACATTTTTGAATCTTTTCATCCTCCCCTTTATTTGGCATTCTCTTTGTTGTGATTTTATAGTGCTTTTCCCTTTTTTATTTTTAATGGGAAAAGGTCCAGATTTACCTGTATTTCTGGGACAGATGTCCTCAGATGAAGTTTCATATAGCCAGTTCAATAGGTCATCTACTCAGTTCAATGATCATCACATTGCATATAGAGGTTATGTGTATGGATGGATGCACATGTTGATAGGAATCTTTTAGAAGATCTGCTTATGCATATGGAAGGGTACATACATGTTTGGATTGCTCAGTGAATTATAACATGTCTCTACTGTTGGCAATTTTTTTTTAAAAAAATATGTGTAGTTATTTTTCAATTATAGGATATTCTGAATCCATCTTTCAGTTAGATTGGATGCAGCTGCACAGAGTGAAGAGATTCTGGAGCTCTAAAAGAGATGCCATCTAGTTTCATTGGTATTTTCTCTTTTAGGGCTTCCATTTGGAATTTGGAAAAAGAAAAAAAATCCTGATACCATTAGTGGATTTAATTTGAAAGGGATTATACCAAGAAAAACAACTGTAATTTTAAGTGTTTCAGCCTGTCAAGAGGTTTCTAAGGAATAATTGCCATCAAATTGGGAAAACTTACTATAAACCATATATTTAGAAAATGTAAATTACCAACTCAGTGCTGCTATAGAAAAGAAATATCAGTCCATATTCATTACAGGTGATTTCTCATGGTACATCAGAAAGCTTTTTAAAGACCTAGGGGAATTCAAGTAGTGCCTCCTAACTTACAATTTAGGAGAATTTGTATGTAGAAAATAACTTACAACACACAGGAGCATTCATGTGTATTTGCAATTGGAATGTGCAGTGGTGCATATCTACAGTCTCTTAAGGTGTAGAAAATTTCCGTTTTGTCTGACATGCTTGGTAATATTTAATGCCATTATCTGCAGAGTTGGCTAAAAGTGGAAAGACAGCTGCTGAAGTGGGGATTGGTAGAAGTAATGGTCAAGGGGAAGACTGGAAAAACACCTAAAAAAGAAAATGGTTTCCCTTTGTCAAATCTCATACAGTAAAATATCACTTAATATAGCATCACAGTAGTGAGGAAGTTACAGATACTTTACACTCACTCTGGAATTTTCAAAAAGGGTGGTCATGTTAGTCTGTTCCAGCAAAAAAGAAAAAAGAGGAGTAAAAAAAAAAAAAGGAACTTGTGGTACTAGAAGGTTTACTATAGCACATGCTTTCATGGATTAAAATCCATTTCCTCACAGCATGGAATTACGGTGTAGTGCAGGGGTAGGCAACCTTTTTGAGCGGGGGGCCGGGTTGCTGTCCCTCAGACAATGGGGGGGGGGCAAAGTACCAAAAATAAATAAATATTTTTTAAATTTAAAAAAAATTAAAAATTTAAAAAATATGCATGCACACTCTCAGCCCCAGAAAAGCCACGGCAAAACCCCTGTGGAGATTTTGCCAAGAAAACCCCAAGAACAAGTAATAACAACAATAATCAATATCATCATGGCTGGCGGCCGCGGCGGCAGGACCGGCCTGGGGCTGGTCCAAAGGCCTCGGGGGGGGCGCATCTGGCCCCTGGGCCTTAGGTTGTCTACCCCTAGTGTAATGGTTTGAGTATTGGATTAGGATTCTGGGAGACCAGGGTTTGAATCCTTGCTCAGCTGTAGAGTCCTACTAGGCAACCTTTGGGCAAATCTCATACTCTCAGCCTAAGAGGAAGGCAATGGCAAACTTATTCTGAAGAAACATTGCCAAGAAAACTATATGAAATCCATATATTGGAGATAATTTGTAGACACACAATAAAATACACATTATGTGCAGTTGTATGTATCATCATGTAATAGATTCAGTGTGCAACAAGGGTTTCCTTCATACATTACATTCATGAAAAAGGTCCACTTGATATGTGAGGTCCTATCACTGGCCACAGATGTCTGAAGCAGAATCCCTAGACAGGAGCAGTTGTTTGTTTGCAGAGGCTCCTATTCAGTACTATAGTTCACATGTAGTGAATGAAAGGGTGGAGCTAAGTTTCCTTCTTCCCAGGTTCCTCATTTTATTTTGTGTCATGGTAGCCAGACAACTAGCTTCTAGGTAGCTCAGATGGCCTGACAAAAGGAAAATGGATGTATTTGATCTGTTTATTATTATAGTTCTGTGGCACCTTTCATTAAAAAAGGTTATCAAGGTGGCTTATTAATAAACAATAATCAAACTTTATATAAATGTCACATGTTGACCCTGCATGTGTATATTTATTAAAAGTGGTATTTTGGTGTCAGCCTAAAAGCAGTGATGGACAAAACATACCTTTCTCGGGGCATTCTTAAAGGAGGAAAAGGAATGGGGAACAGTGGAGAAAATCTTTTGTGAGTTGTCTTTGGTACAATGTAGGAGAAAAGTGGCATATAAATAAATTAAATAGTAAAAATAAAAATAATAAAATGTGGTCTTTATTAATGTGCCTTGTGCATTTTGGAAAATCTATTATACCTTCTTCAGGACAAACTGTAAATAAACCAAAACACATTTAAAGAGATAACTACAATATTAGTATTTGAAATTTCTCTTTTAAAGAGAAAAAAAACCTAACTAATCAATACTTTGTAAAAAACAAAAAAAAATTATTGTACGTTCCTATATTACATAAATTCCTTTTTTAAAATTTATTTACAAAATAGCACACAATAATAATAATAATAATAATAATAATAATAATAATAATAATAATAAAGTTTATTTGTATCTCGCCCATTGGTAATCCAATCCGGGCGGCTTACAGTTAAAACATACAGTTCACAATAAAACATACAATATAAACAAACCCCCTCCCCCCATTAAAACAGGATTAAATTAGAACAATATAAAACAACAATTCAATTTAAAATATTTAACCATCCAGCCCAGTGACTCCAAAAAGCCTGGCTTGACGATCCCCCCATCACTTGATGGGGCCACGTGAGGATCGTCTCATGGACGGCTGTT